ACATGGGACTGAAGGTGACTTAAGAGGAGGAAACACATGGGACTGAAGGTGACTTAAGAGATGGAAACACATGGGACTGAAGGTGACTTAAGAGATGGAAACACATGGGACTGAAGGTGACTTAAGAGATGGAAACACATGGGACTGAAGGTGACTTAAGAGATGGAAACACATGGGACTGAAGGTGACTTAAGAGATGGAAACACATGGGAGTGAAGGTGACTTAAGAGATGGAAACACATGGGAGTGAAGGTGACTTAAGAGATGGAAACACGTGGGAGTGAAGGTGACTTAAGAGATGGAAACACATGGGACTGAAGGTGACTTAAGAGGTGGAAACACATGGGAGTGAAGGTGACTTAAGAGATGGAAACACATGGGACTGAAGGTGACTTAAGAGATGGAAACACATGGGACTGAAGGTGACTTAAGAGATGGAAACACATGGGACTGAAGGTGACTTAAGAGATGGAAACACATGGGAGTGAAGGTGACTTAAGAGATGGAAACACATGGGACTGAAGGTGACTTAAGAGATGGAAACACATGGGACTGAAGGTGACTTAAGAGATGGAAACACATGGGACTGAAGGTGACTTAAGAGATGGAAACACATGGGACTGAAGGTGACTTAAGAGATGGAAACACATGGGACTGAAGGTGACTTAAGAGATGGAAACACATGGGACTGAAGGTGACTTAAGAGATGGAAACACATGGGACTGAAGGTGACTTAAGAGATGGAAACACATGGGAGTGAAGGTGACTTAAGAGATGGAAACACATGGGAGTGAAGGTGACTTAAGAGATGGAAACACATGGGAGTGAAGGTGACTTAAGAGATGGAAACACATGGGACTGAAGGTGACTTAAGAGGTGGAAACACATGGGAGTGAAGGTGACTTAAGAGATGGAAACACATGGGAGTGAAGGTGACTTAAGAGGAGGAAACACATGGGACTGAAGGTGACTTAAGAGGTGGAAACACATGGGAGTGAAGGTGACTTAAGAGATGGAAACACATGGGAGTGAAGGTGACTTAAGAGGAGGAAACACATGGGACTGAAGGTGACTTAAGAGGTGGAAACACATGGGAGTGAAGGTGACTTAAGAGATGGAAACACGTGGGACTGAAGGTGACTTAAGAGATGGAAACACATGGGACTGAAGATATAGTAGCAGTAGGTTACTGATTCATCTCTTTCTCTCCATGTCTGCCTTTCTCTCTCTCACAGTATATTCTCTCACACAGTATATTCTCTCACACAGTATATTCTCTCTCACAGTATATTCTCTCTCACAGTATATTCTCTCTCACACAGTATATTCTCTCACACAGTATATTCTCTCTCACAGTATATTCTCTCTCACAGTATATTCTCTCTCACACAGTATATTCTCTCACACAGTATATTCTCTCACACAGTATATTCTCTCTCACAGTATATTCTCTCTCACACAGTATATTCTCTCACACAGTATATTCTCTCTCACAGTATATTCTCTCTCACAGTATATTCTCTCTCACACAGTATATTCTCTCACACAGTATATTCTCTCACACAGTATATTCTCTCTCACAGTATATTCTCTCTCACACAGTATATTCTCTCACACAGTATATTCTCTCTCACAGTATATTCTCTCTCACAGTATATTCTCTCTCACACAGTATATTCTCTCACACAGTATATTCTCTCTCACAGTATATTCTCTCTCACAGTATATTCTCTCTCACACAGTATATTCTCTCACACAGTATATTCTCTCACACAGTATATTCTCTCTCACAGTATATTCTCTCTCACACAGTATATTCTCTCTCACACAGTATATTCTCTCACACCAGTAATATTCTCTCTCCACAGTATATTCTCTCTCACAGTATATTCTCTCTCACACAGTATATTCTCTCACACAGTATATTCTCTCTCACAGTATATTCTCTCTCACAGTATATTCTCTCTCACACAGTATATTCTCTCACACAGTATATTCTCTCACACAGTATATTCTCTCACACAGTATATTCTCTCTCACACAGTATATTCTCTCACACAGTATATTCTCTCACACAGTATATTCTCTCACACAGTATATTCTCTCACACAGTATATTCTCTCACACAGTATATTCTCTCACATAGTATATTCTCTCTCTCACACAGTATATTCTCTCACACAGTATATTCTCTCTCACACAGTATATTCTCTCTCACACAGTATATTCTCTCTCACACAGTATATTCTCTCTCACACAGTATATTCTCTCTCACACAGTATATTCTCTCTCACACAGTATATTCTCTCACACAGTATATTCTCTCTCACACAGTATATTCTCTCTCACATAGTATATTCTCTCTCTCACACAGTATATTCTCTCACACAGTATATTCTCTCTCACACAGTATATTCTCTCTCACACAGTATATTCTCTCTCACACAGTATATTCTCTCACACAGTATATTCTCTCACATAGTATATTCTCTCACACAGTATATTCTCTCACACAGTATATTCTCTCACACAGTATATTCTCTCTCACACAGTATATTCTCTCTCACATAGTATATTCTCTCTCTCACACAGTATATTCTCTCACACAGTATATTCTCTCTCACACAGTATATTCTCTCTCACACAGTATATTCTCTCTCACACAGTATATTTCTCTCACACAGTATATTCTCTCACATAGTATATTCTCTCACACAGTATATTCTTCACACAGTATATTCTCTCACACAGTATATTCTCTCTCACACAGTATATTCTCTCTCACACAGTATATTCTCTCTCACACAGTATATTCTCTCACACAGTATATTCTCTCAAATAGTATATTCTCTCACACAGTATATTCTCTCACACAGTATATTCTCTCACACAGTATATTCTCTCTCACACAGTATATTCTCTCTCACACAGTATATTCTCTCTCACACAGTATATTCTCTCTCACACAGTATATTCTCTCTCACACAGTATATTCTCTCTCACACAGTATATTCTCTCACACAGTATATTCTCTCACACAGTATATTCTCTCACACAGTATATTCTCTCACATTATACACTATACAACACACAACTATATAATAACTCTCACATTATAAAGATAGTACATTATGACACTAAAGTAATTTGGAGAGACTATGATATTATTATTATTATTATTATTATTATTATTATTCATTGTTACTGTTAATAATAATATAAATATTAAATCTTCTTTATAATTATTATCGTTGAGTTTTGTTGGTTCCCGACCTGAGGATATTGTAGAATATTGTATACAGGTATTGTGTCGACACAATATTAATATTTTATACAATATTACACACACACACACACACACACACATACACACACACACACACACACACATACCGTGTGTGTGTGTTGTTAAATTAGACACATGTGCAACTCTTGGGTATCTTTATTGAGGAAACGTTTCGCCACACAGTGGCTTCATCAGTCCATACAAAGGAGAAACTTGAAGAACAGGAGGAGAATGAGGTAATCAGTCCCTCAACCTTGAGTCGATGTGGTCAGTCCATCAATCTTGAATAGAATACGGTATATGAGCGGAGAAGCAGCTTATAAACCGTATGGCAGGAGAGGTGCAGCAGTCGTAGGTGGTGTCACATTTGTCCAATGTGGAAGTAGGTCGTGCCCAAGGTCGTGCCCAAGGTCGTGCCCAAGGGTTAGGCAAGCGAAGAATTCCCAAGTGTTAAGATCCCAAGAAGTTGCAGTGTCTGACAGGATTGTAGATGAATGGTTCAGAGAACCGACATGTCGGTTCTTTGAACCATTCATCTACAAGTGTGTGTGTGTGTGTGTCTGTGTGTGTGTGTGTGTGTGTGTGTGTGTGTGTGTGTGTGTGTGTGTGTGTGTGTGTGTGTGTGTGTGTGTGTGTGTGTGTGTGTGTGCTCACCTATACTTGGCTGCAGGGTTCATTTCACAGCTCCTGGCTCCGCCTCTTCCTTTGTCGCTACTAAGTCTACTCTCTCTCTTGGCTTCAAGAGCCTTATCATACCTCTTCTTAAAGCTATGTATGGATCCTGCCTCCACTACTTCACTCTCTAGATTGTTACACTTCATGACAACTCTAGAGCTGAAGAAATACTTCCTAACATCTCATCTGAGCTTTCAACTTCCAGCTGTGACCGCTTGTTCCTGTTTCACATCTCTGAGACAATCTGTCCCTATCCACCTTCTCAATTCATCTCAGTATTTTGTATTTTGTTATCATATCCCCCCTAGTTCTCTTGTCCTCCAGTCTTGTCAGGATAATTTCCCTTAACTTCTCCTCGTAGGATATACCCCTTAGCTCCGGGACTAGTCTTGTTGCAAACCTCTGCACTTTCTCCAGTTTCTTGATATGCATGACCAGGTGTGGGTTGCATACTGGTGCTGCATACTCCAATATGGGCCTGACGTATACAGTGTACAGTGTCGTGAACGACTCCTTAGATGTCCAGAAGCTATTCTTAGATTAGTTAGGCGCGCATTTGCTGCAGAAGTTATTTGGTTGATGTGTCCCTCAGGAGATATGCTTGGTATGATACTCGCCCCAAGGCCCTCTGAGTGACGTTTGCAGCCTCTGTCCTCCCCCCCCCGAGTCTGTACTCCGTCTACGGTCTTCTCCGTCCTTCAAACTCCATAATTTTTTACACTTGGTAAACTCCAGGAGTCTTCTCTACTTCGTCTGTTTCAGTTCCTTTAGTCTACCATCACAGTGATCTTATTAGTTATAGTAAGACCTACACTACCATGTGTTGTACTGATACTGGTGTAAAGCTCTTGATCCGAGGAAATGGAACTTCCTTTCCAGTCTGCGGATCAATCCCGATAATCGTTCATTCCCTGGCATCGAATAAACATTTAGGGAGTTAGTATTTCCCAGTAGGAAAAATACTAAGAAGAATACAACTTTTAGTTATGAAATTACATGTAGCTTCAAAATCTAATAAAATAATCGTTCAGACACTTACCTAAAGAAATTATGGCGAAAATCTTGAGGCGAAGACGTGGCCATCTGCAGCGAAACGGAGGCAAGTTAGTGTCAGCCATCACAACTTTGGCGCCAAATTGTCAACAAATGCTGGGAAGAAGCGAACTTTTGCTTCGATGTTCCTAAAATAATTGTTATTCTATACTTTTGTCTCCATTTTTATGGAAGTTTGGTAGGAAAACACTTGACATTTTACCATTGTTTTACTTTCCCTCAAAAGGGCACCTTTATTCTTCATTTTTCTCGTAATGTTTCGTGGAAATAACTAATCTTATCTTACACAGTTTTTTCAAACACCATTTCTTGATCTTTTATCAACATCTAATTTGGTCATTTTATCTTTGACTTGATCGGTAATATTCGATCAAAATAAATCACTGTTATCCTTCAGTGTTTTCACTGTATATTAGGATAAGTTATTATCTATAATACCCGCTGATCACCACTGGTTAATTAATTACATTATCACTTCAAGAAGTCAGCTGAAGTCTCCAGCATTTAGAAGTCAACTAACCAGTGACGCCATCATTCTCAAGTATTTCTGAGTCATCTGTAAGACAAGGAAACCATTATTAATATACTAGGCTCACTTCTCAAATATTTACAAAAACATGAGCTAACTTAAGGAGAGTTGATTTTAATCCCTATTTAGATTATTCTTGCAGCCTTAATAACCCCCTTGTAGTCGATAGGCTTTAAAATCCATTAACCGGCCTTCAGTAAAACTCTTAGGCTTTAAGAGGCACGTTAATTACCCTTGTCTTATAATATGTTCAATTTTCTACTCTAATCTACCTTGTCCATAATTATAATTAGTCGTATCTGCTTTGTTTCGTAAGGTAAAGTCCAGGATCTTTACTCACGGTATAACGTATTAAATCTTTGAGGGCAACTGTGTTGAAGAGGTCTGAGCCAAGCTGTGGAAACACTTGCCCTGTTTCCTGACAAACTTTACCTAACCTAACCTTACCTAACCTAACCTAACCTAACGTAACCTGACCTAACCTAACCTGACCTAACCTAACCTGACCTAACCTAACCTAACGTAACCTGACCTAACCTAACCTAACCTAACCTTACCTAACCTAACCTAACCTAACCTAACCTGACCTAACCTAACCTGACCTAACCTAACCTGACCTAACCTAACCTAACGTAACCTGACCTAACCTAACCTAACCTGACCTAACCTAACCTAACCTAACGTAACCTGACCTAACCTAACCTGACCTAACCTAACCTGACCTAACCTAACCTAACCTAACGTAACCTGACCTAACCTAACCTAACCTAACCTGACCTAACCTAACCTGACCTAACCTAACCTGACCTAACCTAACCTAACCTAACGTAACCTGACCTAACCTAACCTAACCTAACCTAACCTAACCTAACCTAACCTGACCTAACCTAACCTAACCTAACCTAACCTAACCTAACCTGACCTAACCTAACCTAACCTAACCTAACCTGACCTAACCTAACCTAACCTGACCTGACCGAACCTTACCTAACATAACATAATATAACCTAACCTACCCTAGCCTAGCCTAACCTAGCCTTACTAACCTAACTGAACCTAACCTAACCTAGCCTAGCCTAACCTAACCTAGCCTAACCTAGCCTAGCCTAGCCTAGCCTAACCTAACCTAGCCTAGCCTAGCCTAGCCTAACCTAACCTAGCCTAGTCTAACCTAACCTAGCCTAGCCTAACCTAGCCTAACCTAACCTAACCTAACCTAGCCTAGCCTAGCCTAACCTAACCTAACCATGACAACATTTATCATCCGTTATATATGAATGGTATATATAATATATATATATATATATATATATATATATATATATATATATATATATATATATATATATATATATATATATATATATTCTTTCTTTCAACACACCGGCCGTATCCCACCAAGGCAGGGTGGCCCAAAAAGAAAAACAAGTTTCTTTTTTTTAAATTTAGTAATTTATACGGGAGAAGGGGTTACTAGCCCCTTGCTCCCGGCATTTTAGTCGCCTCTTACAACACGCATGACTTACGGAGGAAGAATTCTGTTCCACTTCCCCATGGAGATAAGAGGAAATAAACAAGAACAAGAACTAGAAAGAAAATAGAAGAAAACCCAGAGGGGTGTGTATATATATGCTTGTACATGTATGTGTAGTGTGACCTAAGTGTAAGTAGAAGTAGCAAGACATACCTGAAACCTTGCATGTTTACGAGACAGACAAAAGACACCAGCAATCCTACCATCATGTAAAACAATTACAGGCTTTTGTTTTACACTCACTTGGCAGGACGGTAGTACCTCCCTGGGTGGTTGCTGTCTACCAACCTACTACCACAGGACGGTAGTACCTCCCTGGGTGGTTGTTGTCTACCAACCTACTACCACAGGACGGTAGTACCTCCCTGGGCGGTTGCTGTCTACCAACCTACTACCACAGGACGGTAGTACCTCCCTGGGTGGTTGTTGTCTACCAACCTACTACCACAGGACGGTAGTACCTCCCTGGGTGGTTGCTGTCTACCAACCTACTACCACAGGACGGTAGTACCTCCTTGGGTGGTTGCTGTCTACCAACCTACTACCTAGGATATATATATATATATATATATATATATATATATATATATATATATATATATATATATATATATATATATATATATATATATATATATATATATGCAAAACAACCATTCTGAAAGAATAGAGAAATTCCAAGCGCTTTCGTGACTACTCACATTATCAAGGAACTATGTATATATATATATATATATATATATATATATATATATATATATTTATATATATATATATATATATATATATATATGTATGTATATAATACTGACAAGACGAAGAATTAGATATGTGCAACATCTGGGTATTTTCTAGACGTTTCGCCCTCCTCCAGTGTCTTTATCAATAAAAGGACATGAATGTAGAACAATATACAAAAGACGAGGTAATCAATCCCTTAGCCAAGGCTGAGAGATTGATTACGTACATTCTTCACATTGTGTCTTCGTATTGATCAAGTCAGTGGATGGTAAAACATTTACAAAGATACCCAGAGGTTACACAGGTGCCAGTGTTCTACTTATGATCCATCAGGCACATTCTTTACACCTCCCCTTGAAGGACTCTTGATAGGACTTTTGAAGGACTCTTGATAGGACTCTTGATAGGACTCTTGATAGGACTCTTGATAGGACTTTTGATAGGACTCTTGAAGGACTCTTGATAGGACTCTTGAAGGACTCTTGATAGGACTCTTGAAGGACTCTTGATAGGACTCTTGAAGGACTCTTGATAGGACTCTTGAAGGACTCTTGATAGGACTTTTGAAGGACTCTTGATAGGACCCTTGAAGGACTCTTGATAGGACTCTTGAAGGACTCTTGATAGGACTCTTGAAGGACTCTTGATAGGACTCTTGAAGGACTCTTGATAGGACTCTTGAAGGACTCTTGATAGGCTCTTGAAGGATCTGATAGGACTCTTGAAGGACTTGATAGGCCTTGAAGGACCTGAAGGATCTTGAAGGACTCTTAATTGGACTCTTGAAGGACTCTTGATAGGACTTTTGAAGGGACTCTTGATAGACTCTTGAAGGACTCTTCATAGGACTCTTAAAGGACTCTTGATAGGACTCTTGAAGGACTCTTGATAGGACCCTTGAAGGACTCTTGATAGGACTCTTGAAGGACTCTTGATAGGACCCTTGAAGGACTCTTGATAGGACTCTTGAAGGACTCTTGATAGGACTTTAAAGGACTCTTGTTTGACCCCTTAAAGGACTCTTGATAGGACTTTTGAAGGACTCTTGATAGGACTCTTGAAGGACTCTTGATAGGACTCTTGAAGGACTCTTGATAGGACTCTTGAAGGACTCTTGATAGGACTTTTGATAGGACTCTTGATAACCTATTTCTCAAGCTCCATATAACTCCAGATTTAGAAGACAACAAACATAAATCACCACTTCTCATAATAATTAAAATTTATATCTTCATCTGCTGAAGAAGACCCCAAAAGAAGGTCGAAATATACAAGATCAATTAATCTGTTGAAGGTTCGTGTCTCCACGTCCGTTATTATTCAGCATTTTAATATACATTCAATTTTGTCTGACAATGTGCGTGTACAACTATTGTAAAATAGAGAAGCCTAGCCTGGCTCTATAGCACTTACCAGAAGCCTAGCCTGGCTCTATAGCACTTCCCAGAAGCCTAGCCTGGCTCTATAGCACTTCCTGAAGCCTAGCCTGGCTCTATAGCACTCCCAGAAGCCCAGCCTGGCTCTTAGCACTTCCCAGAAGCCTAGCCTGCTCTATAGCACTTCCCAGAAGCCTAGCCTGGCTCCATAGCATTTCCAGAAGCCTAGCCTGGTCCATAGCACTTCCCAGAAGCCTAGCCTGGCTCTATAGCACTTCCCAGAAGCCTAGCCTGGCTCTATAGCACTTCCCAGAAGCCTAGCCTGGCTCTATAGCACTTCCCAGAAGCCTAGCCTGGCTCCATAGCACTTCCCAGAAGCCTAGCCTGGCTCTATAGCACTTCCCAGAAGCCTAGCCTGGCTCTATAGCACTTCCCAGAAGCCTAGCCTGGCTCTATAACACTTCCCAGAAGCCTAGCCTGGCTCCATAGCACTTCCCAGAAGCTAGCCTGGCTCTAAGCACTTCCCAGAAGCCTAGCCTGGCTCTATAGCACTTCCAGAAGCCTAGCCTGGCTCTATAGCACTTCCCAGAAGCCTAGCCTGGCTCTATAGCGCCTTCCCAGAAAGCCTAGCCTGGCTCTATAGCACTTCCCAGAAGCCTAGCCTGGCTCTATAGCACTTCCCAGAAGCCTAGCCTGGCTCTATAGCACTTACCAGAAGCCTAGCCTGGCTCTATAGCACTTCCCAGAAGCCTAGCCTGGCTCTATAGCATTTCCCAGAAGCCTAGCCTGGCTCTATAGCACTTCCCAGAAGCCTAGCCTGGCTCTTATAGCACTTCCCAGAAGCCTAGCCTGGCTCTATAGCACTTCCCAGAAGCCTAGCCTGGCTCTATAGCACTTCCCAGAAGCCTAGCCTGGCTCCATAGCACTTCCCAGAAGCCTAGCCTGGCTCTATAGCACTTCCCAGAAGCCTAGCCTGGCTCTATAGCACTTCCCAGAAGCCTAGCCTGGCTCTATAGCACTTCCCAGAAGCCTAGCCTGGCTCTATAGCGCTTCCCAGAAGCCTAGCCTGGCTCTATAGCACTTCCCAGAAGCCTAGCCTGGCTCTATAGCACTTCCCAGAAGCACTAGCCTGGCTCTATAGCACTTCCCAGAAGCCTAGCCTGACTCTATAGCACTTCCCAGAAGCCTAGCCTGGCTCTATAGCACTTCCCAGAAGCCTAGCCTGGCTCTATAGCACTTCCCAGAAGCCTAGTCTGGCTCCATAGCACTTCCCAGAAGCCTAGTCTGGCTCCATAGCACTTCCCAGAAGCCTAGCCTGGCTCTATAGCACTTCCCAGAAGCCTAGCCTGGCTCTATAGCACTTCCCAGAAGCCTAG